TTTTTTTTTTTTTTTTTTTTTTTTTTTTTTAGAATTATTTTCTTCTTAAACGATACTTCTAACCATGTGATATTTCGTGTATGGTGTAATAGAGTTGCCGTGCAAAGTAGTTACGTGGAAGATTGACGCTTCCATTCTGCGATGAACAACGATAACGTTAGCCCGCCTGTTTTCGTGGACAAGTTTAGGTATATGCTGTGTTAATCCCCAAGGCTTAGATGCGGGACAGAGAAATCCCGGTGGTTATTCGCAAATGCGTAGCTTGCGGAACAAGATCCAAGGTATCACAGTTGGTCTATCTATCCATTTTCATTTAAACTTTCCCGTTGAAATTTTAAACTGTCATCTTTCCGTTATTAATTATCAGAGAATATTGAAAACTATTGCCTAATGCTTCGAGCAGATGCAACGATTATATTAACTTTTTTTCGAGAATAACTTTTATTTATTTAACTATATTCCAGTATTGCTATTATTTCTGGAATATTATTCGTATACGTTGAAAAAGATCTACGTTTCTAAATTTAGAAGGCATCGCAGAAGTTTAAAACATGATCGAGCAATAAATGGTCGGTTTATTTACCGCCTCTAAGTTCAATGCTCCGAGTAAAGAATATAATGTATATATGAATATTGGCAAACTGTAAGTAAAACGTATTCTCCATAGTGTGTGCCGGTTGTGAAAGTACACCGCGATGTCCGACATAGCAGTTGTCATCTATTCCATGGTTAATTTTCATTGAATACGATCAACATTACGAAAGAATCGGCTGTCAAGTTTCTTACTATCCACCATTTCGTTCCCTTCTCGATAGATTTACTAGAAGAATTCCACCATTTAACCAATCCCATGTTTTAAAATAGGCTCGTAACTTGTAAATAATTCTAAAATCGTAGAAAAATTGCTTCATCAGATAATTTCTATATATTCATTGCGATTTATATATAGAATGGCAATTGGAATTTAAAATATTTAATTTAATAACGATAAATGTGTATTTTTGACATTATCACGAATACAGTTTAGTTTATTAGAAAATTCTAACGTAAGATAACGAAATTGAAACGAAACACTCACATTGTGAGCGGACAGGGAATAAAACGCATTCACATCCATCCGGACAATAAGAATTATCTGGAAACCCGGGTGTCAAGGGAGACCGTTTCATTTTCCCCTCTGCAAAAAGACTGCGCCCTGTCAACACACCGGTGTTTCCCGGTTAAAATATTGATTCTCGAGGTACGTTCGATTGCCAAAGCGAAAGTGAACGTCCGAACGTTGAGTCGAACGCGTGTCCACGCGTTACAAAAACGTGCCGCAACAATACTTTACCCGGCTACCGGCTTCGGGATCTCACGAGCTGTCACGAGCTTCGATCGTGCTGGGGACAAACGTTGGTGGCAACGCGATGTGGATACGTAATTTATCCGCAATCAAACGGTCATTAAATCGAGGATGGGAACGATGGAGCCGATACCGACAAAGTTTGCTCGATATTACAATTACAATTGCGGCCGTGTAATCGATATTAATTAAAGAGCACAATGCGATCGATTCGAAATGGACGGGAGAATCGACGCTCCGCTTCGTCTATCGTTGACAGCTCGCATCACCAATTATGCCGGGACAATCGACACCGGTTTTTTAGATCTGGATAACTGGAATGAATCGATATTTTGCTTATTCTGGTGGCTGGCTGTGTGTAACGATCCGCAGCCGTGATACGCACGGTGATAAATGTATAAAGGAAATATTGCTCGTGTATCGATGGGAGCGAGGGGGGCAATTTTGAGAAAAAAGAAAAAAGGGAAATGAAAAGAGAAATTCCCGAAACATTTTCACGAATAAATAAGGATAATCTGTTGAATGAAGGGAAATTTCGTAA